AAATTTTATATCTGTTTGAATCGATTTTTGATTGCATTGGATTAATTTAAGTCGGATGAATCAAATTTGATTGAATATGAATACCCTACTCGTAACTATATATATTTATATTTATAGAATTTGTTACGTGAGGAGTTTTCTAAAGTAAGGACATTAATTGATAAATTTTTTAATTCAATATATTATACAATTTATTTATTAAAAATTATTATTATTTCTTTAAAATTAAATATAAATAAATTTAAAAATAAAATTATACTTACACAATATAAAAATTAACTAAATTAACCATATTAACTTATATTATAATTTAATAATTGAGTTAAATAAATATAAAATATATATATACCAAATAAAAAATATATCAATTATTTTCCTAAAATAATCATAAAATAACGAGGAATAGAGCAAGTTGTGCCCTTGCAGTGGATTGCAGTCGAGTGCGTTGGCTTTATTTAAATTTTGATAAGTTGACCCGACAGCTTTCAAGGTTGGTGAGTAAAACGACCAAGACTTTGCAATCAGATTGATGGTCGGAAATTAGGGTCGGCGGCTTCAGCCAAAGGAGTTTCACCTCAAGTTGGAATTTTGGTTCAAATTGGGCACGCCATTTGATCATTTTTGACCATTGAAGACTTGCTGGCCTCTTGGCTTTATCTGGGGGACAAACTATATAAGCACAGGAAACGCAAAAGTTTGGCTTGTGGGTTAACACATAAGGTTTATATTTAGTTTAAAATCAATTTGTAATACGTGAAATAACTATATTTATATTTAAGTTAGATATATTTATCATTAAATTTTAATATAAAATTTTACCATTCAACAGAAACGATGATACAGGCTTATTAAAAACTAAGCCTCGCTAGAACAAATTTTAAACTCCAGTTTAGGCATGCTGCTATATATATATATATATAATATACTAACAGCTAAATCTTAATTTAATTTGGTGTTAAAAGTTGTGTATAATAGATTTAAATCACATATGGTATGTCATGTGATACAAGAACTTTCCCCCTTATATATATATATATATATAATATACTAACAGCTAAATCTTAATTTAATTTGGTGTTAAAAGTTGTGTATAATAGATTTAAATCACATATGGTATGTCATGTGATACAAGAACTTTCCCCCTTGAGCTGCTTGTTCAGATGGTAAAGTACAGTAGTTTTCAAAAACTGTGACTGATTTTGTACCAACATGGGCCCATTGATCAAAATATAGGCTACTAGTATGGGCTTATATTAGTCACAGGCCCTCTCCTTTCGCAATAAGAGACGCTTCCAATTCCGTTTCCATTTTCAATCATGTCTGGACTGGACCTACATCTCAACTGGGGCAGGCCTTTTAGTAGATGGTAACGTTGCAACAGAATAGGCCCCAAGCTGTCACGACTCAGACTCACGCTTCAAGTCTATATATATTTTTTTATTTACATTAAAATGTCTTTTAAGTCACCTTGTACATATTTCAAAATTAATATTTTCAATTGATTTTAAAGTCTTACCCTTGTATCAATTCAATATATTTAAAAAAAAATTAATTTTTAAAATAAAAAATATATATCAATCTCAACTTTAAAAAAATTAAGGTATTAATTTTAAATAATATGTTTTATTTAATTAAAACTTAATTTTAAATTTTAAATTTTATTTTATTAAATATTGATATTTAAATTTAAAAATTGATTAAATTTTTTAATTTTTACAATTTTTAATTTAAATTTTCAATTTTTAAATATAAATTAAGATTTTTATTTTTTTAAGAGTAAGTGAAATGCACCAATCTCTTTTAAGTATTAAATATTAAAAAGTTAAATTCTAATTCGGACTTACAAAATAATATTTACTTATTAATCATTTTAAGCAAAACGCAAATCCTTCAACAGCATTTTTCTTTTCTTTTGTGATTTTTTTAGTTTTTTAACATCAATATATAATTCTTTATTAATTTCTCACATAACAGTATTACATCAGTACATAATATGGTATTTCTTAATGCATGAGACGGACAATGAATCAAACACAAAGAACCCCTATCAGCACGCACCGCTTCTCAATCCAAAATTCAAGCCTATAATCGCGGAAGAAAACCGTAGTGGTGGTAGTTCAAGTCACGATACCTTGTACAGTTTTAACTATTCCCAACAATCTAGTTACCTTAATGATAAAGAATAGTGAGTTTAGTCGAGTTCAAGTTCATCTCTTTTATTTTTATTTTACAGTAACTCTGTACATACATAAATTTTTAAAAAAAATTTCTTGTGATAATTGACATATATGATTCTAATTGCTCGTAGAGAACAATACATGAATACCTCTTGAAAGTTATAAATACTCCTTTGAAAGTTATAAATACCCACAAGGGTCCTCCCCTAAAAATAATTGAAATCCATTTCAAACATAGCTCTTGATCCATATCTGGTAGTTCTGATAACTTTAATTATTGTTGATTTAAGCATTGGAGTGTTTATCTTAAGAACCAATTTCGGGTATTTACAAATTAGCAAAAACGACGAAAGAAGCTTGAGAGTATCTTGGAGTTCTTTGCAATAACAAAAACATTTTGTCAACATTAAGATTACTAATCCGTCATTGACCAGTGTTAGGGGTACATATTATTTCCAAAAAAGAAAAAAAGTAAGCTGATTTGTAATTTTTTAAAATTAAGGATTTAAACCTTTTATTTTAATTTCAAATTAAGGATTAAACTTTAATCTTAATTTTAAATTTTAAATTTCAAATTAATTAATAGTAATTCAATAAAACTCTTTAATATCAATTGTTTAATTAAAAATTTTTTGACAATAATAATAAAATTACGACTTTCTATAAAAATTAAATATAAAAGCATAAATAGGTAAACCCCTTAACAATTAATTAATGCCTTCAACTGGTGAAAATTGACAAACCATCAACCCCCTTAAAACACGAAATGCAAGCGAAGTCGGAATGGAATAAAATGTAGGATGCGGGAAAGAGAAACGAAGTGAAAACCATATAAGAAGCAATCGTCTTTTGCTTTCAACAAACATGTCCTGAGAGAGATGCTCTCTTTCCTGCTACTGTTGGCCTTAATGGCTTCCTCTTCACCGGCGAAATCTCAAAGTCCTCCCCTTCCCCAAAAATTAAACATCTTCATCCTGGCAGGACAGAGCAACATGGCCGGCCGCGGAGGGGTTGTCAACGACACCTGGGACCGTGTTGTTCCTCCACAGTGCCAGCCAAATCCCTCTATCTACCGATTGAGTGCGGACCTGGCGTGGGTCCCAGCCCGCGAGCCACTCCACATTGACATTGATATGGCCAAGGTAACAGGGGTTGGACCAGGGATGGCTTTCGCTAATGCCGTGCTGACCCGGGACCGGACTCTTGGGACGGTGGGATTGGTGCCGTGCGCGATCGGAGGGACTAGTATAACCCAGTGGAATAAAGGGGGATATTTGTACGAACAGCTGGTGAGGAGGGCCAAGATGGCAGTGCAGAGTGGAGGGGCTTACGCCGCCATGCTTTGGTATCAAGGGGAAAGTGATACAGTGAATCGAGAGGATGCTGAATTGTACAAAGGCAGATTGGAGATGTTCTTTACTAATTTACGCTCTGATCTGCAAGCACCATCGCTCCCAATATTTCAGGTACAATAACTTAATTTCTTCTCAATTCAAATTCACAGTTGAATTATGTGAATCTCTTAATTGCATCTCCGGTTCCTCAAACCAATTTAAAGTAATTAAATCCACATTGCTTCGTAGATACTCAAGCATTTGTGATTGTCGGTGGTTGATTTGGTAGGTGGCTCTTGCGTCTGGGGAGGGACCATACATACACATGGTGAGGGAAGCTCAGTTCGGAATTGACCTTACGAACGTGCACCACGTCGATGCTAAGGGGTTGCCGCTTGAACCGGACGGCCTGCACCTCAGCACTCCCGCGCAGGTGACGCTCGGGGAGAAGTTAGCGGATGCATTCCTTCAGTCCATCGGCACGTCGTCGCCAAGTCCATTGAGCAGCAATGATGCTAACACAGATTTTTCTAGTTTTGTTCACTGTTTGTTATTTGCTCTGTGTATGGACCTTGCTTTTAGATAGGTTCATTCGTCAAAGTAGTGATAATCAATAGTATATTCGAATTGAAGAGAATATAGGGACGGGAAGGAAAATTTTTTTTATTTAATTATAAAAAAATAAAAGAAAGGAGAGAGAAAATTTTAAAAGAGAGGGGAGGAAAAAATTTATTTTATTTTATTTCTTTTAATTTAAGTATTTATTTAAAAAAAAAAAAGAGAAATAGAGAGAAATAAAGTGAAAAAATTCTATTCACTTCCCTTTCATTCTTTTCAATTTAAATATAAAGCAAATTTATAATAGTACAATAATTATTTCATTAAATTTATTACGGATAACATATGTAATATGAACAATATTTATTTACAAATATAACGTGCTGATGGTTTATTATTTTCTCTATTAACTCAATAAGATACGTGGATTCGGTATACATAAATCGTTGCGAAGAAATGGTGTCAGTGAGTAATTGTGTTGTATAACCCAATGCACCCAGGCTTCAGTCGGTTTCATAGCCCAATGGTTCGGCAACATTGGGCAAAAAAGATCGACAACCAATGGCATCGCTTCCACTAGTGGTCCAACCCAGAGCTCCCATTAAAGATTATATTTTTTTTTTATGGATTTTTTTATCCTACATCTTTAG